CTATGTCCGAAAAAAGGCCTGTTTGGATAATTTTTGACTATCTGCAGTATAAACCTAAGATTCCTTTGGCTAATAGCCACTTACTGATTATTTTTATACGGAAAGTTGCGCTCTGTATGTAGCGAATATTATTATTAGGTTAAGTTTGTGAATAACGCGATGTATGGTTACGTTCACTAGTTTGGTACTTTTTTCATAACCGAAGTAAAAAGAAACGAACCTTCCGATAACTCGAACGAAAAGTCGTTTCCCTTTCCGCAGTCGAACATTATAATTTACCCCGATTCTCGAACTGCTCGATTTTCAAGCGAATTTTGGGTTTCAGTGGAGGTTTGAAAAATCGGGATTCCACTTTAGCTTGATACAAAAGTGCTTGATAACAAGTAATTTTCAAATGCGCATTGATTTACCGGGCTGAGTAATGCAACCAGACATAGAATTGTCAGCAACGAAGTGGTTGAATCGAGTGGAGAGAACTTCATCGTGGATTTCTTCGATTCTTGAAAACTGCGCTGAAAAACTTACGCTCCGCCAACACTCGCGACAAAGTCAGAAAACAAAATGACGAGGCCCCTTGAGCACTTCCTAATTTATTGAAATGTTGAACACGAACATTTTCGAGCCACATAAATGTTTACAATTAACTGCGTCTTGAGAAAAACAGCAATTCAACAGTAAGTCTGCTTAATGCGCCTTCCTTTACCCTGAAGGCAGTCGTTATATTTCATTTTTATCCTGAAATTATTTTAGGAAGAGTAATTTGTCTATCGCATTTTTCTCAGTACAGTCTTGAGTCGTGTTCGCCTTTCGCTGCTTATTACGCATGGAAGACAAGCCTATTGTCTATAAAATCAGTGTTGTGTCTATGTAAAATTAATTGAGACCATGACGTATTTTTCAACCTCGATTCATCTCATCAGCTAATCGATAATAAAAACACTAGACGCTCTAAGAACGTTTCCTCGGGCTTCGTGCCGCACGTAAGCGTATTGAACACAATTAAAACTTTACATTGTGTCTAGATACCCGGCAGCCGGGAAGTGTTTTCAGAAAACTAGATACCCGGCAGTCTGAAATTATTATAGAATTTCCACGAAATAAAATGACTTAGAATAGTAGATCTTTGTTTAGAAATGTCAAGCGATTTCAAGTAATATTTTGGCTTTGTAGTTGAGGAAATTTTCGAGCCTGGACATACTATATAATGCGCAAGATCTCGATGTTTTGACATTTAGTCCATAATGAAAATATTTGTTCAGAAATGCCAAGTGACTCTGAGTAATGTTTTGGTTTTGTAGTGGACGAATTCTCCCAGCCATACTACAAAAATCTTGACTCACGGGCAAGGTTGTTCAAAACACTAGCTACCCGGCGGTCAAAACTTCATAGATGATCAATTTCCACAAAAATTATTGATATTATTTGAAACCTCCTGAGAGTATTTGAGTATTTTGATCTTTGGTCATAAACACGTTGTCCGAACTTTGTGTGACTCACGGGCAGGGAGGTAAAAAAAAAAAAAAAACTGTACATACCCGCAGTCAGAAATTCCTTCCGTTTTTCCACCGAAATGTCCGTTCGAACCTGCTGAGAATGCTCGATCTCTTCGTCAGGATTAAACTACAAGATACAAGATACAAAGATGGAGCTTATTTTATACTTAATACTGGTAGTACAAAATACGCTCCTACTGTAGGGTGTGAACAACAAAACACTCGCAAGAAATACGTGTAGGATATGACTAAAATCCTGCGATTGAAAATGTGCAATGTAATATAAGCGGGGCTCATGGATTTAACGTTAAATCCGTGAGTCCCAAACTGCATTGAATTCACACTTTCTCGGTATGAAAGCACATAACAGACCATAACATGACGAAAGTTGCGTGACATGAGTGACGGCGGATGTACTATTCTAAGAATTGAATGAATTATTCCGTGGAAATTCTATGATAATTTCAGACTGCTAGGTAAGCTTATCTTGCTTTTTGAAAACATTTCTCAGCTGCCGGGTATAAACAAACAAAAGAATTAGGAAACTTTTAAACACAAAGAGTTACGCTTAAATATTTAATATTCAAGAAGTTGCTTCGTTGAGTATCCTTTTCATCCAATTGCATGTTGTTTGCCTCATCTTCCAAGTTCTGCTTACGACGATTCTTTGATTTTGCAACATCCGAGTGTTTCGTCTCAGCAACATAATTTGTTTTTTGTCTGCGTTTTCGTAGTTTGAACTCGTAAATGGCTCCTTTGTTATCTCGTGAGAACGAGCATGAACTTTGCTTATCCGGCAGGCGCGGGCCAAACGGTTACGAAAACGATCGATATCTTCTTCGAGTCTTTCCCACACTTTCTTCACAAAACACAGCATTGTGAAAATCAACTTATTGTCGTTCACGAAGACATTCTCATCCCCAGACTCCACGCACTACGCTAGGAACGCCTGGGACCATGACCTCCCAATAAGACGAGTGACGACGAAAGGCTTGCAGTTTTTGACTCGGGCTTTCCTTCGGAAGCCCGAGTAATTAGCAGACATGAGTTGAAAACTTGGTTTTGTAGCTTTATCAAGAAATTAAGAAATTAATAATTTCTCTAAATTTCGTTTATCACGTTTGAGTGTATTATGAATGATAGGTTGCAAGTAAATACATGAGCATTCTTGAGTCGAGTTAACTTAAAATGAAATAACTTTTTGTTGATACGTGTCGGGTCATCGCTTCAATGAGACACAATAGATGAATATAAAGCGGTTGCGTGAAATTTCTGTTCATTTAGATCGTTGCAGAATTAGAGTTGACATTGGGAGTGAATACCAGCATGTTAGACACCTTTAGATCCAACTTCACTCAAGTTGCAGAGCAACTCATTGAAATGGCAAAGACCAAAGATAGAAAAAAAAAAGAGTGGAGTGCAACAGTATTTAAAATTCTTGAAGGAAGATTCGAATGATGATTTCGATGATGATGATGCAAATAATACTCCAGGTAAGAGAACCATTATGCGACTGAATTAAAATAAAGCATGTGTGTTAGTCTTGAAAACACTTTTATCTCATGACAAATGCAAAATGTACCTAATTCAGGTTCCTTACAGGTACCTTTCATTACTTTGAACTTTTAGAATCCCAAGAAATTTGATGGCAGAAGCAAAAGATGGATTTTAGCAATAGTAGCTACATGTAGACCCAGATCGTTTGCTTGGTTGGTCGGTCGGTCAGTTTTAGACTTTTTGTTGTAATACCACTGGGCAGGTATAATGGCAGATATAAGTCAGCTGGCAATCGTATTCTGTAATCGACCGCTGAAAACATGGACATCAAGAATGGGAAAAATATTTCAATAGAAACAGCGGCTGCTCAAATTTTCTAAATGTATGCCACAAAATCAAAAGCAAAATTCTGTTTAAGAAATCCAGTCGTGGCTCACAGAGCTCTTTGGTCTCGAGTGTCATTCTGATGTCTTTTGATGTTTACTCAAGGTTAGATACTGTAGCCTTACGTGGTCTCATCATCATCATCATCATCATCATTATCATTATTACTACTACTATTATTATTATTATTATTATTATTATATATTTTTCATTTCCCATATTTTTTAGATGAAAAAGCAGAGGTTGCCAAGGCAGTCCTTCCATTTTTATTAAACCCAGCTGCCAAAGGAGGACTATCTCAGAAGCAGGACTTTGTTTACTTCATTCCTGTAAGTAAATGACCAAGTACTGTATTAGCTCAAGGGTTTAAATTGCTTGGCCAAAGTTAAATGCCAATTTGTTCCAATTAAAAGCTCAAAAACACCTCTTGCTTCGGGAGAAGGTTTGGTGCAATGCTAAGAGGGCTCACCTCCCATGAGGGGTAATGATAGGCCCAGTATTGCACTAGTCTAATAATTTGAGTTCTCAAGGCACAGGCTTATCCTCTCTTTGTGTGGTCACAGCCTCTACCACATTATTATTCAAAACATTGTAAATGTTCAAGCTTCCAAAAATTGGATTTTACAGCTGTGTATTTGAGATTAAATGCTAAAAAAATGTTTTTGCACAGTTTAAGTTTGTTTCTACGCAGGCAGGAATTTTGGCGAATTTCAGTGAAAATTGCATAAATTGTTCCATTTAAATCAGCAAATTTCGTCGTGTCCAAACACGACATACAATTCAAAACCAGCGTGAAAGGCAGCCATGTTGGAAAAATCTGAGATCGAGGCTGATTCATACACTTGAGGCTGATTCATACATTAACATGACTTAACTTTGGTTATCCTTTGATTACGCGTTTGGTTCGACTCATGTGAAGATCGACGTTTGACCCAAAGTCGGTCTTCAGGCGTTATTAGCGGCTGGCCAGGCGCGAAGAACGCCTCAGCCACTCCAAATAAAATCAGTCGAACTTAATTAGGTCAAACGCCGAACTTCACATGAGCCAAATTGGTTGAATTGAATTCGGCTAATGTGAAGTACGGCGTTTGACCCGGGCCTTATAGATCATGGGTAACATTTATATTTGAGTTATATATCCTTTACTTTTTTTAATTGTCATTTTCCTGTGTCGGTGAATAATTATGCACAAACGTGACATAAAGTAAATTAGCCAATAATTACTGATTAATTATCACTTATTTATATTCACATGGTGATATTCATGTCACACTTTTTTCAGGGGATTGGTAGTCATGGCCAAGCTCCCTTCCGCGCTGAGAATTCTAGACAGCCAGCACAAAGGTAAGGAAAGAAATCATTAAGATGTCAAATATGACTGCTGTCAAAACCATTAGGATCCCACTTGACAAAAGAAATGTCAAATACATTGTTGAAAAAGCTAAGAGTGAACTACAGGATAGCTTTGGTTGGCTTTTCAAAGATATGGTAAATGATGTGCATCCTGAAAAAACAATAATTTTCTGTCAGTCATTAAAAATATATGGTGACAATTATGAATCCTTTTAACTACTTTTTCCATGCAAAAGTGAAGTGGCCATGTATCACTCAAAGACCCCCCCCCCCCCCCCCCCAAGACATCAAGGATAATGTTGTCTCTGATTTCATGTCTCACAATGGAAGCATACGTTGGTAATAGCAACTAGTGCCCTGGAATGGGAGTTAACATACCCAACATCAAAAAGGTTGTTATTTTTGGAGAGGCAGAGATCATGGAATCCTACCCTCAAGAAGTTGGAATGGGTGGAAGGAATGGTTCTGATGTTTTGTCCATGAATGCATACCACTTATGTCTCTGTACGTGATCCCACAATGAGGGCATTCGTCAAAAACAAAGTTTAATGTACGCATGTGGAAGTACTACAGTTTTTTAATGGGAAGATAAAAAACCTTCCATACTGCAGAGTGCTGTGATGTGTACAGTAAACAATGTGATTGTGGAGACTGCCCAGAAGAAATGTTTAAGATTTGAACTGATCTTAACAACTGTCCATGTACTTTAGGAAGGCAAGTTAACATGGATGAAAGAGGGACATTCACATAGGTGTTAAAGGGTTTAGCTGTGACCTGTAAAGCCAGGTGACAGGCTTGAAAGTGTTTGTGTTTAGGATGTGTTTAATGGTGCCATTATTTCAGATTTAGCTGCAGACCTAGAGTATTTATTTACAGTTGCTTACATTTTGAAAATGAAAAGCTTGCTGCAAATATATTGCTTGTTGTAGGTTATTATTTAATGATGTAGAAAAGACAACACACCTTAAAGAAAAGCACCATTTTTTCCAAAACTTTCTTTTTCTCCATAATTCTGTCTAATTGACCTATCCAAGTCTCTAAGGAGCAAACTTGCACCTGTCATGTACTGGGGCACCTTCCAGATCAAGTATAAGAACACAGACCCCTGATTTTACATTTCAGCTTTGTGCTCAAAGCTATGATTAGCCATCTAAAGCGTCTGTTTCATGGCCCATGAGGAACGATTGCACAGATAGTACAAAAATCTACTGTTGGCATTAAACTCTGGTTCAATGATAAGGAAGGAGACAAAAGAGCCACCAGAAGTCAGAACTTTATTGAGGAGAACACCATGCCAAAGAAGGATAAGAGTCTTCACAAAATTGGAGACAAATGTTGTTTCTTTCTGTCTTTCAAGAACAACCCCAAATTGTCAAACAGAGTAGTCCAGTGCCTGGAGTAGTCCAGTCCCTGGAAGAGGGAAAAGAGAAAAGCTGTAGTTACATTATACAGTTCCAAGAAGATGGCAATGATGAATTTGGAATTGTGCAGTACTACTTTTATGCCAGGAACACTGGGTGTGCTTTCATTCACAAGTTTGAAAAGGAAGAAAACATCTGTTCATGAGAGCTTGATGATCCAGGATGATCCAATGATTAAGTCATTTATTGACAAGGGTATTCTTTGAAAGCACTTTCAGGCTGTAAAGGAGACTTCGCCAGATACTTGTATTCCTTGCAGATGTGCGTTTGTATCTTCAAAAAGACCTGGTGTAAGTGGCTATTATGCCTGTTTTAAAGTACTACCAACATGACTAAGCTACAGAAATGACTTCGACATTACCTCCCAAAATTGCCCTCTGAAAATATTTAGGGTATAGGACCAGAAGAATTGGTTGTTTTGTATTCTCTATTTTGTTTTGTTTGGAATTGACATTTGTTACGATTTTTGTTTTATTAGTCACATAGTATTTACTGTTCCAGGATGTTCTGGCATTGACCAAGGTAAATAATTTTCCTTCTCCCAAACCTAAGTTAAATGGCATTAATAAATATATATAAGTTTGAAATTTGACGAGCTAATTGATGAGCTTTTATCATTCAGTAGATTATTTCTGAATTCACAGGAGTTAGAAAGAGAAAAAGGGAATCAGCAGGTAACTAGAAAATATATCACTATGCAAGGTAAAGATTTTACAATTATCATTTAAAACACCGACATAAATTTAAGTATTCAATTAATATACATACATTTTTTGAATAACTTTTATTAGAAAATTCCGGGCTACTTGCATGGGGCTTGGGTTCATTGGTGATGCCCAAGACACCCAAAGTACAACAGAGTGGACTATCATTCTGCCGGGACTGAAGTTGTAACAGACTTGGAAGATGATCTCTTCTTTCTTGATGGTGAGTGAGCAACTAATTGTCAGCGTAAATATATTATATTTTGTGATTAAGTTCAGGTTTAAGGCAATTAATCCACAAAGTTGCCATACTTTTTTTTCTCTGTTGATTATTAACTGACACTTTAAAACATGTTTGACACGCAAGCCCAAACAATAAGTCCACAGCCGCACTGCAACAAAGATGACTGCAGCTGTGACGAGGCGAGCATTTTCATCACCCCTATACCGCGTGGCTTTAAGGGACTAACATCCCTGCAACCTGACGACTGCGCAATCTCAGACCAACTCCTTCGCAGTTGCACCACTCGAAAACGCAAGCTGGAGCTAGACGATTAAATTGTTTATAGAGAGAATTGAAGGAGTGGCACTGCAAGCAAGGGTGGTAATCAAAAATGAAAAGATCTGCTGAAATGACACTGAAAAGATTAACAAAGTCCAAGAAAAAGAAAAAGGAAAGTTGGCTACAAAAAAAATAAAGAAAGATCCAATACTATAAGATGGAGCTTTTGGAAAGCAAAAACACCTTTAACCACAGTTCTTTTTTTATTAACATAAAATCAAATTCTGTAATTTCAATAATTTTCTTTGGTACAATCAAAGGTTGTTGTTTCACTGAGTCTCTGCCAGACATTTCAAACATTGGACTGAGTCAGTGACAAGTTGTTTCCTTGGCAAACTTCAATTTCCTTGGGAAACCAAAGTAGAAGAAAGAACATTTCTGCAAAAGTTAGAGAGTAAGTCTTAAAGAAGAAGGCAGTACAGATAGATAAGAAACTGACACCCAATGAAGGTGGACATTTCATCAATTCTGACAATTTATCAGTCTTTGAAGTGTTTTGTAACCAAAGCACAGCCTTTGGCAGTGGACAGTGTTTCGGAAGAGACAGGATGGCTCAGTAGGTTTCTACCTCAACTGGAATGACTACAATTGTGGCGTTGGTAATCTGAGTGGTGAAATTTTGATCAACCTGGGCAAGATTTAAGGCCTGACCTTAAATAATGATAGCATGCCCTTTCTGATATAGAAGACATACCCGGCCCATGAATACTTCATATTCTATAAGAGCAAATTTATCAGAGACTGGAAGATGCTCATTTGTGGCAGTCCCACTGGTTGACCAATCATTGCCCTAGACTTGAGTTGTTTCTCCTGTTGTAGTACTTTTGATTTTTAATGATTTACTTTTGGGTTTTTCAGGTTTGGTGGTAATTGCGGTTTGCGAATCTCTCTTCTTATACAAGGAGCAGCTCTCAGATGTCTAGAGTAATCTACAAAGCCTTTTGCCTGGACTGCAGTGCTATATTGGCAAAAAAAGAACCTACTAGATCAGATGAGAGCTTACCAGAGCACCTGAGAGACCTCTACATCTAAAGCATCGCCAAAGGCATCAATTATATAACCTCCTGCCAAATTTCAAGACATCTCTAGAGGACCTCATGGTCTGGACTGGGCAGGTGTTACCAAACACAAACTGAGTACAGGTGATGCCTTTTTCTTGAATGTCAGCACCCTAAGAGACTACCCTTTGCAAAGGGTGATATGGCTTTCAAAGCTGTTGAGGAGATGCATACATTCACAAGGCATAATTGAACCCTGTGCCAGTCCCTGCGTTTTATCAGTGGTCATGGTGAAGAAAAAGGATGGCAGAAACAGATTTTGCATTGACTACCGAAAGTTAAATGACCGACAAAGGAGTCGTATTGTTTGCAATTAAGGAGAGCCATTAAATTTCCCAACACACCGGTTCAACTCCAGAAGCTGTTTGCTTTCATACCCACATGGTCCATTGGAGCATATCACTGAAGATTTTCAAGAGACCTGATTTGTGATGTATTTTCATTTTTGTAACATTTATGTATAGCTATGGAAGTGCTTCTGCAGGACTTTTAAAAATCAGCTGTAAATATGTAGTTTTATCGTCTTCAAAACTCTTGATGTACGATGACACAGATATTGAGTAAATATTAATTTATGCATTCATAATCATTTCTGTTAAATGTGTGGTTCCCGTCGGGTAGTATATTTTTATTACGGCATATTTTTCTAATTAAGAAAATATAACTATTAAACAAAATGCCTCTACTCATGCAGGATTGATGACAAATCTTTCTATTTACTCAGTGCCTCGGATGAAAGCACTCGTTGGCAGACATCACCCAAACTCACTAAAAAAAGGAAAATCTTTTGATGTCAACAGAAGGGCCGTTTGGCATTCAATTGAATCAAGGATGGGCTATGAGGGGCTTTCCTCATTCGGTGCAATGATAAACATACCTTGCCTTTCAAGAGCTGCTTACTACAATAGCTGTTTACTACAGTGACCAAGTCACAAAACGTCTGAAATCCAGTGTATACAACTTCTTTTCTTTCATCAACCTCAAGATCATATTCCAAAACATGTACCGCATCAAATCTTGCATTCCACACAAAGATCACTTGAGCCAATCAGGGAGGTCCAAAGTCATCTGTAAAGCTGGTTGCTGGGACTGTGATGAATTTTATGTTGGCAAAACAAAACGAAGACTTCATGACAGGAAAACAGAACATTTCAAGACCCTCACTAAAAGTGACCATTCATCAGCCATTGCTGATCATGTAAAAACCATTGGTCAAAACATAAAACGAGATCATTGTGACATTTTAGTGCCCAGCAAAACTTACTTTCATTGCAAAATTAGAGACTGTTCATTCAAGAGCTAAAGCCTTCCCTCAATGTCAGTGTCAGTATTGAGAAGTTGTTACTTTACTAGCTGTTACTTCTCATGATGTCTAGACAGGTTAACATACTGCTGCAGATCATTTTTCTCAGTCTAGGTTCCTGACCTCTAATATTTCACAATAAATTGTAATAGTCACTTTTGAAAATGTATATAGACTAGTATATGAAACGTCAAATTCTGTATTAAAATGCGCTGGAATATAATCTCTATCCCTCCTGTTTGTTATATTCTTAATCATGCTTACAACAAGCAAGTGTATGTAATTTTGGAAGATCAGGTAAAAGGCTCTGGCAGCAAGTGATGGAAGAAAACGGTTAGCCAGACAGCACTGCAATTATTGATTCTGCTGTTACCTTTAATGGTACATGGGCCAAGATAGGCTTCACTTCATTAACAGGTGATTTTTGGCATCTCTGTGGACACTGGTGAGGTCTTAGACTACCATGTGATGTCCAAGCCTTGCCATAAGCTGGTTTTAACAGCACTCCAACAGGGACGAATTCAAGCATATCCACAATTCACAACATGAAACCAGAAATAGCTTTCCTACTTTCCAAGGACTTTGCTGATTTCCCCAGTACCAAAATTTCTGATGTTCTGGCTTTTGGCTGGAAGGTCTGTATCATTTTTTTTGCCATTTCTCTCTTAGTATTAAAAAAGGAAATTCTCTACCATATCCTTGATCAGTGCAAATGAAACATATTTTTATGAAAGTCTAAAAAAAGGTTGAAAAGGAAATCGTTATGAACTCTTTTGTGAGAATTAATAATTCCATGAGACTATGTTAAACTGTGCCTGTTTTCCAAATTATATTTATATACGTGAAACACTCACCTGTGAATTGAGTTAAATGAATAATACTAACTAAATTTATGCTAATTACTGTAAAAAACCTGATTTAGAGACAAAATGTAAACAATATTGAACAGAGAGTTTTGTTATTGCAGGTAATGGTTAAGGCTTCAATGAGTGGAGAAAGTTAATGCTTTTTACTGACAAAAGTCTGTGGATGCTTGAAACAGTTTCAGCACATAAATGTTGCTGCAGGCATGATTTTCTCAAAAATGCGACAGGCAACGGTATCTACCAGGCATATGATTAAGTGGTTAAATGTAATTTGATGGAGTCACCAGTCGAAAGTGGAGGCTCTCGGGAATACAAGAATATTTCAGCCTGGTTGGGGCAGTTTTCCAACATCAACTGACATTCAATTTAGAATTAAATTCAATAGCACTTCTAGAGAAGTGGAAGACTGACCCATCAATAGATGTACAGCTTCCCCATGGAAAGTATCTTTGACAACAATTCTCTTTTAATAAACATAAAATACAAACTATCAAAAAGTTTTGGTGTGTAATGATACCACTCCTGTCAGGCAACTCTGTTAATGTTTAAAATTGTGCTTATTAAATTCATGACTTTGAAGTAATCTGGAGAATTCCTTCTCCGATAATATGGGTGTGGAATGTATAAATGTCTCAGTTGCTTATGGCCTGCTCATCACCTTTTGTCGTGAAACGTGCTTGCGTATAATTTGAAATAACTACAAGAATGTTAGCTTATGTTGCCGACAATGAAATAAAGAATTATCTAGGGAAATTGTGGGTGCAAATTTGGTTTCGAACATCCTGTGACATAGAGGAATGTGTGACACTTGGTTGTAATTTAGTGAACAGAGTTGTTAATCAGATTAGCCCGAGTGAAAACTAAAGCCAAGTCATGCAATAGAAAATGCAATAGGATCTCAGAAAACCACAAATAAGTATTAAGAATATAATGGCTTTATGTAGTTTAGGCGTGTATTTCCGTTGTAATAACCAATAAATAGAATCGCTATCTTGTAACTGACAGAATGAGAATGAATAGAGATCGATTGAATGTAGAATGTGTGGATCGTAAATAAACGTAAGAAAACAGAACGATACAGTTCGATTGATTGCTGAACCAGCGGAACGCAGAGATTCCCTTAACACTGTGGAGAATTCTGCAACATCTTTGTATCAGACAAGCATGTCTCCTTTGCCAGCCACTAGAAGACATTCTTTGGCTAAGCACTGAGTACTGCTTTGTACATGTATTGTCAAGGTTATAGGTTTTGTGTTTCGTTTCTCTAACAAGACTACTTCTTGGTGGGTTCTTTAAACTGTTTTATATGCATCTAAATTTTTTTGGCCTATGCATTAACAAAATTATTTTGCCACAATCAGATCATTTTATCAACCCATCCTGGTTCAAGAACAGGCTCTACATTATTTATATAACACCGCCGTCCCGGTTATTTCTGTGCAATAATCTTAGGTATTATCTTTTTGGCTATTTAAAAAATATCTTTTTTCTACAATCATATTACTCTATTTTTATTATTTGAGTAATATAATTGATATGTTGTGTCAATTGTTTGTACGTGTCAGTGACCAACATGAAAGCCAATGCTACTTTGGTCACTGAGCACATTTCATTTTGGCTATATACTGTTATATTTCTTTTCTCTTTTTAATTAATGTAATTTCTGTAAATACTGTTAAAGTTATAATTTTTGTAAATAGTGCAAAACAATAAAAATCTGAA